TGCGCCTCTGAGCCACTGTTTTTTCTTCGCGCCTCATTCACTGATTGCTTTGAAGTAAACCCTGTGCACCAATGTCTGGCAATGTTTTCCAGCTATCTTGAATTTTGATTTCTTTGCTGATGGTGCCCATTTTTTTTGTCAAAAAGTCGACTAAATTTTTACGCATTTTAACCTTTTAAAATATATTTAGTTGACAATTTTTAGCTGTATAAAATTACTTTATGCAAACAACTTTATTTACTCAATTCATAATGTCAACAATACATTGGCCATTGCTAATCACAAAGTTATAAAGGTTTTTTGCTAATGTAACTATGGGTTTAAAATGCAAACATTATAGCTGTTTGATATTTGCGTCAAAGATAAGCAATGAAAAGTACAGAAAAGTCAATCTGTGAGCAAACAAAACACACGTCACTGATTTACTAGCTATTTTGAAAATAATTTTACAAGAAAACGGTAACTCGAAAATTAATTTGCTGGTGTTTTTAGTGAGCTGCGTTTGGCCACTACTACACCTTTTAACTCTGTGGCAAGTCAATTGCGGCATTCAGTAGAGTACAGTGTGAGTTTGCAAGTCACTACTACTACTACTTGTTCCAACAGTAAACTTCCCTTTTTCCGAGTCGTGTCTCAGTGTGTTGAATGCTTCCCCTATCTAGTGCACACTGGGAACGATTTATATTTGCCAATTTATTCTTGCCATTAGTCGCGCAGCTCGCTTTATAGCTGGGCTATGTTTTTATTTGCCCATTGCACATCAGTGCACTGCTGCCGGGCTGCTCATGCTGATGGCGATGCTGCCTATTGCCTCCTTTACGACTCAATCCCGTCTGCCGTTCAGCGTCCGAAGCGACAGTGTGTCCAACCGCCGTGTCTGCATTTGACATGTGTAAAAGTCTTGCCCCTTTCTCCGGGCAAACAGTCCTCGTTGACGCTTACTCTCGAAGGCTCAGCAGTAACCCGTCAAAGCAACCCAAACTTTCGTTTCCACAACTGCACTACACCAGTTTTGTGGACTTGCGAAAGTACTTGAATGGATCAATTTGCATGTAACAATTACCCTGACGTGTTTCCCTGTCCGTCTTCTCAACTCAGTGGTTCACTTGCCCAAATACGGCCTTTAGAGAAGCCTGTAAATGACCTTTTTAGTGTGACCATTGACAACTGTCGATCGGAAATGACTGCAATACGCGTCAGACTACAGACTACAGTCAACCAATTCGGCAACTCATCTGCCCTTTCTCGTTATTGACATTTGATGGCTGCTTTGTGTCGCTTTGTCCACTCACTCAATCGCCGCTAATGATAGGCCACTTTGCCTTGCGTACCCACACAGCCTCTGCTACCCCCAAGGTCTGATCTAGAGCTTCTTACATTGGTCGCCCAGTCAGCAAGAACAGCACCACCTGCCTCCTTGCCCCCGGTATGTTCGCTTTCAGGCAGGTGAGGCATGTCTCCAAATGGTGGCACACGCCCATCTTTCACTGTGACCACTTTTAACTCATGCCTTCTCCTCCTCCTGAAATGCTACACTCGGATTTCACTAATCAGATTAGTGTTTGATGTTAGCTGTTGACCAGATTGACTGCATTTTCAATGCAACATCCTCTACACTCGTGTTTGACCTGCATGTTGCACTTCCACAGTTTACCGCAATCACAGCCACCACCATCACCACCACCATCACCACAACTGCCACTACAAAGACAGCCAACCAGATAGACAGGCTCACTTACTTGCGAATTAGTTGTTGCAGCCTTGCTCAGCTTAGCAGTCAGTTGCCGCTTAGCAGCAGAGGCGCCAATGATATATGATTCCGCAATAGTCGATAAGATTACCAGCAGCCATGTACTGTACGCCCGTCCTGCTTTGTGCTGCTGCTCTGGTCGACGACTTTTGCTGCTGTTGATGCACTGGAGAGCGCTTGAGCGCTAAAGTGGCAGTTACTGCTTCTGTTGCTGGATGCATGGCTGCTGTTTCTATCTTTAGCTAAATTTGATTCTCTTCTCGGTTCTTCTGGGCATCTCCACTGCCGCCACTTGACGATGCTCAAATAGAGGCTTAGCCAACGGCAAAGGCAAAAACAGTTGCCCTGTTCATGATAAGTCTCGTCACTTACAGTCGAGAATTTGCCCATAAATCATGACACTGGCAATAATTGCAATTGCATTGGTCGACTCTTTTNTTTACTGTACGCCCGTCCTGCTTTGTGCTGCTGCTCTGGTCGACGACTTTTGCTGCTGTTGATGCACTGGAGAGCGCTTGAACGCTAAAGTGGCAGTTACTGCTTCTGTTGCTGGATGCATGGCTGCTGTTTCTATCTTTAGCTAAATTTGATTCTCTTCTCGGTTCTTCTGGGCATCTCCACTGCCGCCACTTGACGATGCTCAAATAGAGGCTTAGCCAACGGCAAAGGCAAAAACAGTTGCCCTGTTCATGATAAGTCTCGTCACTTACAGTCGAGAATTTGCCCATAAATCATGACACTGGCAATAATTGCAATTGCATTGGTCGACTCTTTTCTTGTGTTTGTGTGTGTGTGTGTACACTTGCCGCTACCCCTGCAGACGCCATACGCTGAAAGGCGCTTTGCGGCGGTACCAAATAAAGGCCCAATTTGATCAACTAAATGCCATTCAGCACTCTTCACTAAATACTGAGATTGAGAGTGCACCTACTGACAGGCCAATTGATGCAGCTAATAGATGCGCTTGTTGCGCCAGCTGCCTGTGGGCCCAACAGCCGCCGCATCTTTTCGTTTGCGAAAGCCGCCAGCAAGTGAGCTGCTTTTTTCAACCTTCGTACCCATCCATTTGCCTTCACGCGTTTGCGTTTAACGAGCTTCAAATTATTGCCGCGTTAATTGACTCGATTAAGGGGCGATGAAGACTGCTTACAAAAAAAACGAATTTCAACTTTGCGAAACTCAATGCCTGGTTGAAGTTTAACCAGTACACCTTCCCAAGTTGTTTGGCCGGAATCCAAAGTGGTGTTTTAGCTTCTAAAACACACAGATTATTTATTTTGAAAATTTTGTGATTTAAAAAGACAAGTTTACTTTTTAAATGTGTATATCCAGTGCTCAAAGTGAAATAGAGTAGTTTTTCTCTTGTTGAGCTACCCCCTTACGAACCTTGTCACTTCATGCTTGGTGAGAACGATCATTATCGCTATTGTCATTGTTGTTTGCTGTCTGTCATTCGATTCTACACTGGCGATTAGCATGCAGAAGAGTGCTGAACAACCAGAGGAGACAGACCGGGCTGGCTTCCTCTGTTGCTACTGCTGCTCTTGCCATGTTAGCACAATGGGACAAGTCTGCAGCAGAAAGAGTGGCGTACTTCTCGCCATTGACTCATTGTGCGGGCAATTACGGCGTGCGCGAGCTGTCCACTGCCCTGCACGGCACTGCACGGCCATTTGTCGAGTCGTGGAACTACTCGCATGCACTTCGCGTCATAATCATCATCATCAGCCATTATCATCATTAGGCAGTGCTCCACCGCCACTGCCACCGCCACCAGACAGACTACCAGGCAGGCAGTGCCACTCGCACAGAGTGAGCACTACATGCGCTGCTTATATGATTTCAAGCCTTATTACAGGCCTAGACCTACCTTCGATTCTACGCTTGTTTGTCTGCACCCTCTGTGGCGTGATGGCAATGCGCCCACCAACTGCTGCTGCTGAAGAGGCCGTTGAGTATAAAACAGCAGTGCCTTGCAAAATGCTTTCACTTTTGGGTAGCAGTTTATTGGTATCAGTGTGTAATGTGTCGATGATTGCCCTCTGTCGAATCGTTTCACTTGGTGTGTGTGTGTTTGTCCAAACGAAACAAAGACGGCACTCAGCAATTTAGTTGACTTGCTTGCCCTCTCTATGCTTTCTCACAGTGAATAGTGGTTAGTCCAATATATTTACTGACCGCCAATCAAAGTGCCTACCGGACGGCACTGAACAATCTGCAAATGTTGCCGACTACTCGAGCATTGCTCATCAACTCATTCATGGCTTGTTTGCTGGCAAAAGGGATAATGCATGGCGAGCAATTATTTGCCTCCTCTTTCTCTCTCTCATCAGCTCTGGCGACATGCTTTGGGCGTTTTGTCGTTGCGTTAATCCCCACAGCGTGCACACGTTATAATTAACACCAAGTGAGCGAGTGTAGCGCTAGCGCTGGAAGCAAGCGGCAAACTGCAAAGGTGAGGATGATGAACTGAACGTTCTGCCCTCTCTTCTAAGCTTGCCCAGTGCAGGAAAAGAGGAGAAGAGTGCAACCACTGTCCGCTACAGACTAGCACTTGGCCACCGACTATTAAGTGAACTCATTACCGCCGCCACAGCTTCAGATTTTGCACAGCGAGAATACTTTTCGNCGTTAATCCCCACAGCGTGCACACGTTATAATTAACACCAAGTGAGCGAGTGTAGCGCTAGCGCTTGAAGCAAGCGGCAAACTGCAAAGGTGAGGATGATGAACTGAACGTTCTGCCCTCTCTTCTAAGCTTGCCCAGTGCAGGAGAAGAGGAGAAGAGTGCAACCACTGTCCGCTACAGACTAGCACTTGGCCACCGACTACTAAGTGAACTCATTACCGCCGCCACAGCTTCAGATTTTGCACAGCGAGAATACTTTTCGTCTACCCTTCTCGATGTTACTGTTGTGGCTACTACTACTGCTGTCCACTAGCAGATGATGACTGTGATGTTTTGCCACATGCCATATGCTAGTGGGTAATACCACCACTTCCCATTAGCACTGTTTGACTCGTTGACCAAATTGCCGATTAGCACATTATTACGCGATTATCCACATGTATGCAAATGTCTACATCTCGGTGGGGTGCAAGGGGTCCGCTGGTAGCAGACAATAAACCTCCTTCACCTAAACTACTCGAGTTTAAAATGTTGATCTTCACCATTTAATTTAACTTTGTTAAAGTTTTTTCTTTATTTATAACATTTCTCAATTCATTTCTTTTCTCTTCCTCTTTACAGACCAATCGTTCAGGAGCCACATCAACGACAAGTAGTTCAGCAGAAGCTTCTGCTGCGTCTTCAGCTACGACTTCGGGACCACCAGCAACGACGACGTCCGATAACGCTGACGTTGACTTATCGAGTAAGTTTAGCGCCTCTGTTTGCAAGTTTCCTTTGCTTTCTATCTATCTCCCCTTCTCTGTCTACTGCATTTTTCTTCTTAGTTTCCAGCTTCTTTTTACCTTCTCATTGCTCTTTGCTTCACTCTGGTGCCCGAATGTTTTCTTCGTTGACCTTTCTTTGCCCCTCACTTACCGGTGCATTCACTCAGCTGTGTTCGATTTTAAATTTCATGCTCGTTGCGTTTGATCGGGTGGCTGCGACGGCTAATTAGCATAGCATGAAATGGTTAGGTGCCGTGCTGCGCACTGCGGACTGTCCTGGCCACTGAGCACCACCTTCCTCCACGGCAAGTCAGTCTAATGCAGTTTTGTAGCAGCCCACTTCAGCGCCTCACAGTGATGATTAATGGTCCAGTGGCACTGTGCACTGCTTATTAGGCATTTATTTTGATTAGATCACAGGCAGAGCTCAGTTGATCACTCGCTTTGTCCTCTACCCGTCTCAGTGATCTTCTCTTTCTTCTATTTCAGTGTCTCCTTGCTTCTCAAATTGCCTGTTTTTTATATTTATTGGCCATGCTGGCGTCCACACTTTGTCTTGTCTTACCTAATTGGCATGTTAATTTCATTTGCCCACTGCCATTTGGCATCTTTGTCACTGCCTCTGCTACTGCCGTTCTTTCTCTGTTTTTCCGTTTGTGTCACTATGCAAATTGAATACAGTTCTTTTCCTCTCCTCACTCGTCGTTGTTCTTTCCCGCTTTTACCTCTTCTGGTAGACTACCAGTGCCAGCAGTGAAACGAAGCTTTCTCGGCGTTGGTTCTACAGCCAGAAGTGTATGTGTATGCGTGCCTTCTCTCTTTCTCTCCAGTGCAGCCAGTCAGTCAGTCTGTGCCCAGCCCGAGTTCTGTGGTGATTTATTTCACTTAGGCAAACTGTAAGTGCTGTGTTTGTGTGTGCTTTCATTCTGGCCGATATTCGTTGCTCCTAGCTGGCAGCAGACTCATTTGCGACTGGTCTTATTGCTCTCTTACGTTTGCCCTTTTGCTTACTGTTCCCTTATTTTCTCTCAGTTTTTTACATCTCCTGCTCCACAGTGTCTACATCTACATCTGGGCAACTTGTCTCGGCCAAAAGGAGACAGTAGTTTAGTGCAGCAGTTTTCTGTGCGTGTCCATCTTATTATTATTACTGCCATCCACTCGTATCGGGTCTTTCCTCATTCTCAATTAGGACCGGTGGGCGCCAGTACTCACAGAGAAGGTTTGCTGCTAGGCGGCGTGTGCAATGGACACCGAGTCCACTTGGTTGGCTGTTCAAGTGCCATCAGATCGACACTTGATTTATTCTCCAAGACACACAAACACATAGAAAACCGTTGTTGGCGTCATAGCAAACAGGCACACACTGGCAAACATCATTGCAACCACTGCAAAATCTTCACTTGCCTCAGTGGTTTGCTCAGAAGACACTTAATTTTATTTGCTGCAACGTTCACAATGCTTCCCACCATTGTCAAAGCTTTTTCTCTTTTCCTTTTTTTTCATTTACTAGTTTCCTCCTAATCTAGTCGCGTGTAAATATAAACAATGATCAATATTCATTGGCTTAGTTGGTGTGTGTGTAAAAGTTTTTTTTAAGGCTATCGTCAGTTTATCTTAAAGTACAAATCAGGAAACTGCGCAACATGCCCATTCGCATGTCTCTTTAGCAAGCTTTAGAACTCCGATTGACTTTTTCCAGCAGCAGTAGAAAAAACTATAGAATTGGTTCGAGTCAGCAGACAGAGGCAGGGAGCATGTACTTGATATTTAATTTATCTCGTATTATTGAAACCTAATGCTCTCTCCAGTTTGGCCCATTCATCAGACGGCTCCCATCGATCCGACTGCTGCAGTGTTTGCAAAACCATTTTTTGGCGTAGTTTTGGGTGTTTTAGCTGGTGTCTTTGAGGTCACTGCACAGCCCCTAGGCTCGGGTAGTTCAGCAGACACAGCTACTGAATCCGATGGCCATCGATCTAGTGACACGAAGGCTCTTTTTGTTGCAGTGTCTGATGGTGTTAATTACTCGCCACTAACCACGAACGCATGTCATTGTTCTCTGTCAGTTACTCTGTAAGCAGAGCAGTGCTTAATTCAGCAGTGCGGGGCACAGTGTGAGCTAAGCACAGTCTAATGGCTACAATGTGAGTGCACCGACACAAACTGAAGCTGTTTGCTTTGACAAACACACTCTGACGCTCCCTTTCCCACCACTGAGTGTGACTGAGTGAGTGCCTCTTGTGAAGGAAACTACAATGATGACAAAGATGAAGACAACGCATTATACAGACTAAGCCTTTTCTAATTGGCCTAATCGGGATTTAGTTTTGTTTCAAGCAATTTCCACAAAAAAAGATTAAAAAGCAAAAGAAAACGAGCATTTTTTGCAGAGTTTACTTGCAAATTAATCTTTGTTTTAATTTAAGACATTGTTTATGTATGCCGATTCAATTGCTGGATCACTACTATTATTACTATCAACTTTATGTATTGACTTGGGTAACAGATTTTAGTGCATGTTAAGTGATGAAATGATTTATGTCACGCCGCAAATGTGTCTCGCTTGACATCATTTGTCACCTTACCGCTGAAACGCCATTGTCTACTTGAGATGATGTTGACTTTACGTTTTTTCACAATGTTAATTCTAGTTTATTTTTAAATGAACGAGTTTCTAAATTGGAGAGTAAGATAATTTATTTATTTGCACAAATATTTTAACTTACATTTTTTAAACTTAGGCCTTTGGCTTGATTAAACTTTCAAAAACCAGTTCTGTTTAATGAAATTTTTCCTTTTTTAATTTTAAGTCATTTTTACAGCTTATTAAAANGTTTGGCTTGATTAAACTTTCAAAAACCAGTTCTGTTTAATGAAATTTTTCCTTTTTTAATTTTAAGTCATTTTTACAGTTTATTAAAATTTACAAGTTTATTTATATTTTATTTCCGCAATTGTTTGCATTGTTAGGCTAATGGATCAATCAATTTGCTGAAAAAGAAGATGCAAGTTGCATTTTATTTCATTTGATACTACTTCGAGGTAATTTGTCTGGTTTATTGCCTCAACTCGGTCACCAGGTTGTATGAAAAGGTGTTAGGAAAGGTGGCAGTGTTTGCAAGGTGACCTGCTGTCTGCTCGAAAACGGCAGTAGTTAAGGTGCTCTTTACACCCAACAGTATTGCACTTAATTTGCGCTGCTGCGCTTTGAGCTGTGATCTGGGAGCGTAACAAATGAGCGATTTTACCGCAAGTCAAGCCAAAGCAGAGTCTGCTTTCTCTTTCTTTCTTTTTGGCGATCAAAATGTGCAGAGGGCTCGGTTTTTATTGAATTTTCCTATTATCACAGGAGCTCGGTTTGATTGCATACGGCAGTGGAATACCAAATGATCTTGGAGACCTCGCAAGTAGCAATAGCACAACTTTATACCCAAACTACGACAAAGGGAGGGGAAGAAAAAGAAAACTGGCCAAGTGAACTAACTGGACAGATACGGTGTCTTTTTGCTGTGTCCGATGGCAGACAGGCACACAAACAGACAGACAGACAGAGAGACTGAAGGAGAGAAAAGCAGACAGGCAGGCAGAGTGCGGATAGGATGGAGGGCACTGTCATGCACGTTGATCGTTTATCTGCATGTCTTGGTGTGTTTGTTGTTGGCCTGTCATCGGGACAAGTACTTAATATTCGATTCACTTAGTGTCAGCAGCAAGCAGGCAGAAGCGATGTCACAGCAGTCCAGTGGTGATGGTTCACTTTTGTCTCTCGGCCTTATGTTTCTTTCCGCTGTGGCTGCTCTTTCTATTCTTCTTATTCTGGCAGGCTTTGCTTTATTTTTAGTCTTAGTGTGTGTGTTTAGTTTTGGGCCGCACAACTGCAGAGAAAATTTATATAGCCACAGAGAGAAAGAGAGTACGACGGCTGCCACTGCCGAACGGGCCACTGGAGCGAACACGATTAGTTTGCTTTGATTTGCTTTGACTTGCGGATCGTCCGGTTTGATTGCAATTGCCGCTTGGAGACACTGAGACCCGAGAAGGCCATTCAGCGGTAGTACCAATGGATTCTCTTTCCTACCGACGCCCCCGACAGACAAGTGGTAGCAATGGCCAATTGGCATTGAAAATCGAAAATTAACACTCTTCTCGCACTCTTATTTTCTTCTCTCTCTCTTTCTCTCTTCTCAATCTTGTGCTGCACTGGTCACGAACAATCAACGACCACTCTTGGCTCATTTATCGCGTCGATTCTACAAATTATTTTGCCATTTAGTTGCTGCTGCTGTTAGCATTTCTTTACTGCCATACACATTGTTGAAGCTAATTCATCGACACAACCTTCCTTTGTGAGAGCAGCAACTAAGGCAGTGGCATCGCCTAATTCGCATTTGCCAACTCGTACCTGGCCACTGATTGCCCCGAGCGCCCATAAATCATTATCAGTAATTACCTTAGGTGTTAGCGGCTGCGTTAGCAGCAACACCACTCATCGTCATTATCGTCCTCTGTGCACTTGACACTTGCTACACACAAACTGGTCACAGCAGCCAAGTTAGTCAAAGAGTGTGCACAGTGCACCAATGCTTACGACCAGAGCACTACCCGATTCTGGCTTCATTCTCCTTAGGCAGCACCAAGAGCACACTGCCGTCAACAGGGTTGCTCGATTCAGTGAGGAGTGCACCCGCTGACCAGTCTAACTGACCTGCTCGTTCTCTCATTCTCTTTCTCTCTTCTGCATATCGACTCTGTCGCAAGGAACAAACAATCAACGTTCGTGCGGATCGAGTGCAGACGAGTGCTGCCTGCCTCTGTCGCCGCCTGCATAGACGAGTGCTGCTGCTGCTCCTTTTCTTCTCTGGCACCGGACACTCTTCTCCTCGTTGGCCTTTTCGGCAGAAGGCATAAATTATACATTGCACTGGCAAACCACACAGCCACTACCAACGCCTGCGCTGGCCCGTGCCAATTGGCCAGTGGCCTGTCTCTTCTCTGTCCTGCACCGTCTATCTTTGCTTGCAATTTATTTATTTATTTATTTATATTCGCAAGAGCAAAATTGTTCTTGTGCAAACAAATGGACTGTTTGTCTGTCTGTATCTGCCTTTGCTGCTTAGGAAAAACGGAAAAAGAACATTGGTGCCCTTTAATGACTTCTTTCAAGTCGACTTTCATAGTGACTTGGATGTTCGTTCTTTCAGTCTTTCAGTGCAGTCCTCTAATATTGCCATCAGCCACTTTTTCCATATTTTCTTTGGTAAAAAAACTTTTTATGCCGACACTAGAGTGCCTACTCAGTACCATTTTGTTCTCTCCCGTTGGATAGAGTTGTGTTCACATGGCGCCAATTAATGGTAGTCTAGTACTGGCCATGCTGATGATTATGTCAGCTAATATGATTATGCGAGCTAATTTGCTGGACACAACGACTTTTATTGCAGCTTAATTTGGATTCATTCATATCGACTTACAGTAGCTTTTGTGTCTGTACTGAGCATACCATGCTTGCACATTCAAGCTTCATTGTCTGGTGCTGCCATGCACTGCCACCAATTCCTACGTGCCAGTTTTTTCCTGCTCGTCTTTGTTGCTTTTTTGTTTTTTGCTCTTAGCCACACATAACGTCGTCCACTCGGTCAGCCAATTGGCAATCAATCACTTCACTGGCGATGCACTATGCCTTGCCCATTGATTGATTGCTATGGCCTTTTATTAATTCCACTGCGGCCTGCGACAACAGCAACTAATTATATCGCTTTGTCTCTGCCGCCACCGTCATTGAGCCAATCACTACTGCTGTTTTGGTTGCTGCATTTAAGACACTGCTCCTTCATGACTGCAGTCGTCAAAGTCAGAGGTAGACGTACTACAAATGTACATTTCCAAGCATGCCACACCGTGTTTTATTCTTCCTTTTTTTCTTTTTATTCGGTCGACACCGCCTGGTCATATGTCGCCTATTCGTGTAACTTGAATTTAAATTTGATCATTGGTGCACATTCCGTGACAAGCCAATCTTATCAAACTAGTGAAAAAGGAGAAAGGGAGAAAATGCTGTATATCGCCGTCACAAGCAGACAACTGCTGCCATTGGCGATAGGGCACAAATGAATGCTCTGATCTAGCATTGCACGATTCACTTCACCTCGATCGAAAGCGAGTGAATCGATTGTGTGAGCATGAATTATTTTGTCAATGAATTTGATTTCCGCACACTCACCGTTGACAGCATTACAATTGCCCAGTTTTTATGATGCTTTTTAATTATTTAACAAGTCCAGCGGTGAACTGACTGACACTACGACCACCTTTCGGTGTCTGGTCAATGGTTCAATGATGCTGGCAGTGCAATTCTGCAGTACATTTATCTCTTTTATCGTTGTTTGTCCTAAATTGATTGTTGACCAGCTAAAGCTAAAGATTTGTCTATCATAAGCAAAACTACTGCACATCATTCGAATGAGGCACTAGAGGTCGAGCCGACCTGCAACCGAGCTGCAGAGTGCCTGTCACTGCAACCAGTTGGAGTTCAGCTGAGTTGAGCTGAGCTTTCGTCTGAGACCAACTCATAAATATCCCACAGTCTGTCGGTTGTTATGACTTTTTAATAGACTTGGTCTCTTGCATTCTCTGACTATAGCCGCCGTGTGGCTCTCTTTCCCCTCTTTTTCTTTTTAGATGTGGTGTGTGTGTGTGTTGATTTATGATAAACTTGCTCTGTTTTTTCTGCTCTTGTCATTATTGCCAGGGGTAGTGATTTCTCTTGACTGCCTAACTTGGCCACTTTCATTTATCACTTGAACAAGGTTGCACTACAGAGCCAGTGGCTGTGTAGTGTCACTGACGCCAGTGCCAGCGCGCGCCATTGACTTTACTATAATTTGCATTGAACATTTTGAGTAACCCAAACTCCCCACTTTGTGCAGTACAATGCCATTGTCTCTTTCCCTTGCCCCTTCCTTGAATCGATTACTCGTTGCTATTGTCTCTTTTTGTTTTGCCATTTTCAACTAATGAGTTTCCATTTTTTTCTCTACAGGCAAAAAGAATTCTAAAACCAAAAAGATGCCAAACAAGACCAAGTCTGCAGGTGCGGCGTCTACCTCGGCCAAGGGCAAACGCAGTGCAAGCAACAAACGATCTCAGTCAGACAATTCCTCTAATGAGGATGAAGAGGACAGCTCAGATTCGGAGTCAGAGTCAGAGGAGGAAGCTGAGCCTCTCACTAGTCCTCGACGTGGTCGCAATTGTGCAAAGAAGGTTCCTAAAGCAGCCAAAAGTGCAAAGCGACCCAAAATAGAAGCGGGCCATACGAATGAACTAGAGGATGATGATGATGACGATGATGATGAGGATGAAGCGGCTGAAAGTTCAGAGTCGGATGTGCCTGAGCAGCCAAGCGCCGCTTCGAAGAAGGCGCCCAAACGAAGCACTGCTCGCGGTAGCAAAGCTAGCAGCAAGCAGACAAAAAAGAAGAGCTCCCCAACAAAGAAGAACAACAAGGGTGGTAAGGGGGTGAAGAAAGCAAAGAAGGATGCAGACAGTGACGCAGACGATGAGGAGAACGAGGAAGAGGACGCCAATTTGACCGATCACGACGATGAAGAGCAGGCCGAGCAGATTGTGACAGACGTTGAGATGGAAGAGGAAGCGGCTGACAAAGGTGTTGAGAAGACGAAAAAGCAGACAACAGGACGCGGCGAGCAGCAGCAGGTGAAGGCGAAGAAGGCTACCGGTAAATCGACACGTGCATCGCCCAGTAAGCAGGCGGCAGGCAGCAGCAAGGGAAAGACGTCAAAGGGTGAAAACAAAGCGAGCAGTGGTCGGAAAAGCAGTGCCGCCAAGGGGGCCTCAAAGAAAAGTGCCAACGATCAGTCGGACGATGACACCGAGCAGAGTGAACAGGAGGAGGAGGAGGTTGCCGCTGTGGAGGGCGCCGGAGAGCAGCAGCCAAAGCAGCGACAGTCACACGGTAAATCATCATCGGCAAATACAAAAAACAAGTGTGATAAATCAAAATCTAAAAGCAGTAGCGCAGGTAACGCTTCCTCCACCTCCTCATCTGCCGCCACCTCTTCCACCGCCGCCTGCCCTGTCAAGGATGTGTACACCTTTGAGCTGTCTCCTGTCGAAGTGCCTAGTGCCAGCTTTGTCCTCTCATCAGGGCAGGAAAATAAAGCACGCGTTGAGGATCAAAACAAAACAGAGCAGAGTGAGACGTTGTCAACGGCAGTAAACACGCTCAATGCGATACCTGAGGAAACTGGAAGTACAAGTGCCAATGCGAACACAGTTGTCAAGGGCTCATTTTCGCCTCAGATCGTCTCCGGTTCTTCCTCCTCACCTTCCTCGTCGTCAGTGAATCGAGATGGCCCAGCATTTGAGCCTCTTCGACCTGACTCTTACTCCCTCTACGAGCCTTCCTATGGACCCAATGTCAGTCTTTCAAGTCTCAGTCAGCTAAGTCAGTCTATTGGCGGCGGGGCTGGTGGTCCAATATTGCTGAATCACCAACAGCAGTCGTCTCTTCCCCCGACCTCATCTCTGGCCAACTCCAAGTGTTCCATCAACATCAAGGAAGAGCCACGAGAGGATTCACTTCAGTCTCCATTCCGTGTTGCCCACCCGAAGGCATCCACTTCGATGCATCAGACGCCGCCACCAGTCATTGGCGACCACCATTCTGCTAGTCAACACTATGGCGTCAACTTTGCCTCTTCAGTCAACAACAAAGCAACCCACCCCCGACGACTGTGGTCCAATGCGAGGTAAGGATTGTTTTTTTACTTGTCTTTATATGCTCATAATTAATTTCTTGAAATCTTTACAGCGCTGGCTCTCTCATCTCTTCGTCCTCCTCTTCTTCTTCTTCCCCGGTGCAGCTTGCATTTGGACAGTGTCCACCAGGACAGCCACCCACTCCAGCGACGCCAGCATCACTAGCCAGCTACTTCACACCATCAAGTTCTTTGCCAGCGCTCTCCTCGCCTTTCTACCCACCGAACAGTAAGTCACTACAAGTTCTCAGTGCGGTGGTTTTTATCGTTAATAATTTTATAATTTGCAGGCCAAGATTTAATTAGGCGTGATTTGGATTCTCGCATTCTTGCCTCTACTGCGGCGGATCGCAATCTTCTGGCCGCCTCACTCGGCATTACACCGTCTGTTGGCGCAGTAGTGCAGCACCCACAACCGCAGCCACCTCCACTGCAGCAGCAACAGCAGTCATCATCACAGACGCCCTTCAACCATGCGCCCACCTCTGCAATGATTCCACCAGCACCCACTGCTCCTGCTGCAGTCGGCTCACCACTAATTGCCCCCTGCTCTTCGGCATCCTTTGTGCCTTCGGGCTCCCCCTATCCACTACCGCCACATCTGGTTAGTGTTCCCTTTCTGGCTGACTAGTGTGCTCATCCCCATTATATCAATGATTTGTCATCATCATCCTTTAACTAATAATTTGTTTGTTTACCCCCTCAGCAGAACAGCCAAGCGACCTTTACGCCTTGCGTGCCTACCAATCGACCGACCAATCAAGTGCAGGACCTGTCAGCAGAGTCGCCACTGCGAATCAGTTCACCCGCCTCCAGATCACAGTCTCCAAGAGAGAAACCACCAATGACTTCACTGGTAAGTGGGATGGCTACACTTCTTTACTGAAACAGTATTTACCAATATCCTTTCCTTTCAACAAATCATTTACAGAAAAAGGGCCGCTGGGGATCGATGCATATTACCATTGCGCATAATATTCAACTGTCAATGACGGGTAGATCACATGCCTTCCCAATAACAGGGGCTAACAATGTGCCAACTGCCACCACCCCACTTGCCAAATCAACGCCTATCATCAGTCACAGTAGACCTAGCAGCAAGGGCTCAGTTAAGACATTTGAGCCTCATGCAGTCCCTCATTCGGTTTACGCACCCAGAGTGAGCTCTCCAGCTAAAGGTGGGGCGACTGCGCCTATGAGCTTAAAGAGTTCACAGGATGCAGCGAGCACTGCACTGGTCAACTCAATACGCCCTGCATCAGTGGCTTCATCCACCTTCAACACCACAAACTATCCACCTCGATTCGGAACGCCTACCTTTGGCACACCCTCAATGTCTGCACCACCCATGTTGCCCGGTCTCTTTCCATCGCCAATTCCATCACCAATGAGTTTTCCCGGTTTTCTCGCTGACAGCTGGGCAAGACCACCCTTCCCGGGAGCCATACCACCACCGCCGACAACACCCAACTCAGCAGTGCCCCCAACTCGACCTTCTGTGCCCTTTTCATTTGCTGACTACTACAACAATGCAAACAGTGCATCGTCCTTTCTCTCTGCCTTTGCCGCCGGAGCCAGACCTCCAGGAGAAGCCTTCTTTGCGGCACAGAATAGGCAAGCAACGCCAGAGAGCAACAACAAACCGACAGCATCAACCAGCAGCACCAGCACTGGCGGCAGTGGTGGCAATAGCGGCAACAGTAGTCACAAACGCAAACACGAAAACCATGAGCATGGCAAGGAGAGAGCACACTCTTCGAGACATCAAAATGGAGACACCCGCTCCGAAAGACCGTCGTCTCACAAAAAGTCAAAGCAGAATAAATCAGACTCGGGTGGTGGTAGTAGTGCCAGCAGAACCAGTGCTACTGAAAACGGAGAAAGGTCTCGTTCTGAAATGCAGAATGACTTCTACAATCGCAAGCCTTCTACATCACATGAGTCGACTCGACACTCGACGCCCAACTTCAACTTGCCCATATCGTCTTCCGCCTCCTCATCGCCGTACCCTTCGCCCTTCTTCAGTGGATCACACACTGCCTATCCGCCAGCTCAGTCGCCCTCAGCAAGTGAACATCAGCGGTACATGGAGATGATGAGCATCTCAAATGCTCTGGCGAATGGCCTGCCACCACCACCACTCCCCTCATCTTCCCCATCCACTAACGCTTTCCTCTCTCCTCAAAGTGGCTACAACCCTGCCACTTCTCGCCCTCTCTGGCCGTATGGACCCCTGCCACCGCCGGGACAGCCATCGCCGTCCTCTCTGATGGGCTCTTCCATGATGGCTGATCCGTTTAAAAGTTTAACCGACATATCACTTCGACCAGGCATGGTCAGTCATGATCGTGAGACGCTCTTCTCTCGCTACAGTCTTCTCAACTCTTCCGGAGGAGGTGCCAGTATTTTTGATAAGATGAGCAAGGAACAACTGGAGAAGTTTGATATGCTGCAAAGCAAACCAAACCAGCCGTCGGCTACTGCCACTTGCAGTGCTAGCAGCAGCAGCAGTGCTGCCATGCGAACCTCCACCGAGCCAGCACACTCCACCTCCTCCCGGTCCACCCCAACACACCGCCTGCACACTGCGCCTCCGCCAGCAGCACTACCGACCCTGCCGCCGCCACTCCCGCCCCCACCAGCACCCTCCTCCACCGCAATAGCCCCACCTCCTGCGCCCTCAACCCCCTTTCCCTACGGATACTTGAATCCCTTGAATCCCTTCGGTGCTGCTGGGGCGAATCCTTACCTTTCACAGGCGCCACCACCAGCACCACTGGGCCACCCTTCCCCGTTCAGTGCGAGCAGTGCCATGCTGAATGGCGTTGATCCCATCACCAGTTTGGCCCTAAGTCACCACCATCACCACCACCACCCAGGCTCAATGCCGCCACTTCCACCGGGTCTGTCTGCTGAGCAGGCGCAATTCCTCCTGCCCCCTCCCTTTGGGGTGCCTCCTCCAGGGTCTTCGGCGGCAAATATGATGAACAGCTTTTTCAAAGGCAACCCTTCAAATAGATAATGCTGGTGTATTGAGAGCGGCTCCCTTTCCTTTCCCTCCTCTTTCCTTTTTCTTTCCAGTGACCCATCAAGTGTAAATTCACCAGCTCACCTGTACAGTAAATCTCACCAATCCCTCTGTGTCATATCTCCTTGTTTTCCTTCTTGTTGTACTTTTTTGCTTTTCCTTGTTGTCACAAACTCTGTACGATTGCATCCTTTCCTCCTTGTCCTCCTTATCACCCATCACCACCGTTTCCTACCTTCACACTCCCCATTTCTCACTCCAAACACACTTTTGAGGAGTAGCGTCTGTAGAGAATGTTCTGCCTGTGGGCGATCACTGTTGATCACACAGTGTGCCCGTCCAGCAGAAGAGGCCACTGTGTACTTACCACTTTGCATCTTTTCACCTGCAACGACTGTTCTTTCACCCCCGCTGCAGTGAGTTGATTCGATTGTTAGACCATATTTTGACAAATGAAATATATTTCTCTATTGCCAATAAATCATTTCTTACCCAAATCAAATAACAAATTCGTTTTGCAACTTTCTGGGAATTTTCAGAAAGTGAGTTTATCAATTTGTTCATTGCCAGTTGAAACTAGTACGAGGACAGTACTTTATACTTGTGCTTTATTTTGCTAGAAATCTTCACATCAGCTCATTTTATTGTGAACAAATACTTTTCTCCCTAAAGCTATTTAATTTCGATTTATCTCACTTGATTAATGAAAGTATTCCTATTTGAATACAATTACAAGCTCGATGGAAAACGCAATGTCACTTTTAGCTTTATTTGCGGTCTGATTATTGCTATACTTGTGAAAGAATCTGCGGCATTTATGGAATTTATTATTATTTATGACCATTGGGCTTGCTGAAATGTAAACACAATACATAAGAGTAGTAGAAAACAGCGGTAATAGTAGCTGTGGTGATCGTCGTTGTTGTCGTGGTAGTGGTCCTTCCTGTGATAGACTGGTAATGGAGAGTGAAAAAGTGCGATGCATCTGTGCTTGGGAAGCAGTGCACCGCCGCCAGAGAGAGCGTCAGTGTCCTTCACCCGAACCGCTTAACACATCGACAAATGGGACCACGTCCCTTACGACGTCTAATGGTCATACAGTAGCCACCTTTTCGGTAGCATCCACCGTCCTGGCAAGCCCAACCGTTGGAGTAGCAATCGGCAGCTTCCACTGAAGCAGACGGCGAACTGGAGATGATGATGGCCATCGTTACGAGCAAAGTGATCACACAGAGCACACTGTACTTCATTTTCAGCCAATTATGTAGGCACTTGAGCAATTGTGAAATGAGTGTATAAAGGCAGCTCTTTATAATTCTCAAATTCTCACTTCTTTGTTTTTGCTTCCCCTTTTATAGAGCTCCGGCACTAGGATTTAGTGGTTTTGTCTTTGGGCGATAACGGCTTACAACTTGCTGTTGCAATTTGTTTTGTTTCCGTGAAGTGTGCGGCAAGACAACGACAAACGGACATATTTGTTTATTTTTACACGCGTCGAAATCGATATCAATTTGTTATTACTGCACTGGGGGCATTCTTTTAGTCATCGGGTGGCAGTGCATTTTTCTCAAAACTGAGAATGTGCCAGAGTTGCCATGCGAAACCTGAACGAAACTGATGCAGCTTTTGGTAGAAAAAAATTGCAAAGCAGTGCCTCTTGCTTTGAACAGCACTGAAAAGAATTCTCTCTTTACGGCTGCTTCCCCAAACTGGCAAACACTGGTTCAAGTGACAGGGCAAATGTGAGCGCTGAAAGGAGGCAAAAGAAAATAGGCATCGGAAAATATGTCGATGTGAACGGCAAGCGGTAGGGTCATATTCGCTTGCTAGCTCCCTTCCACTGATGGGCCACTCAATTTGCACAAAGCAGGCACGCATCGGCGTGGATCGCTTCTTCCTTGTCTTGGCAGTGGCACATGTGGCGCCGGGTGCCACTGCCAATGCTTTACACTGAGGCCGCCTGCTTCTCATCTTTATCAATACGGGCAATTTGCACAGCCACTCGGATATCAGACGCGACGAGACAAAGATGCTCAGCTAGTGAGCACCACTTCACGGGGTAACATTGTCAATTACCAGCAAATTTTGCACTGCTGTATTGTCACCCTGTAAAACACACACGTTTAGGCAGTGGCAAAGGAAATTGCCATGATAGTGTTTGGCTGCCAGACTGCCCCAGCAATTGGCCAGAACAAACCGCGTCGCTTACGTGCATCCTCGATGCTGAAGTTTACATGAAATAAATCAAATTACCAAACTCAGGAACCAGGCGCACGAGCAAACAATTACATTTGGACATTGGTATTCATGGCCATTTGGTCTGACCAGACCAGTCTTTTACACTTTTACCGACTGCCTACTTGGGCAAAATCTATTGCAGCTGTTAGTTCATTTTTTTTCTTGAAAAGGCACTGCTATTCAAAGACAACAAAAGGCGGGCAAAATATTCCACTTTGCATATAATGCCCACTTTATTACAAATTTTTAGGTTTCCACTAATTTAAAAATTATTTAAGTTTAATTGTTTTAACAAAAACAAATTTAATAATCTGCTAATCAAGGGCACTCATTTTACTTGTGTAGTTAAATCACAATCTTTAAACTTACAAATTATGGCTGAATCATTTATTTTATCAAAATCAGACAAAAAATGATAGCGGTTTTGGACGCAATCAATTTGAAACAACCAAAGTTCTAAATAAAGTTTTTTAAATGATTCTCAACAGACGGCTTCACTTGGCGTGTTTTTATATTTTATGTTTTATATTTTATTTTTATTAGACCAACTTGTTCATTTGATCGAGTGCAAATTGGCACTTTAAGTACCGACTTGATAAAGAACCGTCTCTCCTCTATGCGCGTTTATTAACTGCTCTATTAAATCATTTTAATATTTTGTTTTAATGTCATAACCAAATGGCGACTTAAGACTGCAGTAGCCGGCACTGCAGTAGTACAACTTTCTATTGATTGCCCCTAATTGCCAATTAATTGCACCCTTCTGGAATATTCTTGGCAAATTTGTTTTGCGCCCTCTACCACATAACAGTGGCACTTTTCACTTTTCAAAAAATAAAAAGTTGTTGAAAAGTTCCATTTACAAAAGGAAACCGCGTTTTTTATCATTTTTTAAATTTTTGTTTTAAAGAAGCTATGATTTACAAAAAAATTTTTTTAATAAAAATTGTTAAAAACTTTTTGAGTTTTGGTTTTTTATGAATAGTTCACCATCAACACTCTAAACAAGCAGGTACACTTTTTACTAAAACGGGTAATACTACAAAAATAATCAAAATGGCTATTAACAATTGTTTAACCTGCTCAAAACCAGCTAGAGAAGTTCCAAATGCAAAGTTCGAGCATCATCCTGCCACATTTAATAACTTGGTTTTGCTAACGCTTTAACGTAACGCTTTTTACACCTAAAAAAATGTGCTTCTCTGCAATAGTAATGATTGTTGCTTGGTGGAACGTGGCGTTTATCATAGTAATGCTCATCCGGTGCAGAAAAGTTTGGCAGAGCTTAGACCCCAATGGAAGCAAGTACGAGTTTGAGCATTTACCAGTTGTGCACGATGACTGCAACGGAGTAACGGCACGCTACGTGTACTTACTCAGGCTTACATATGGACATCGAAACAAAAAGTTTTTTATTCCTCATGCAACTATTACTATTGAATTTTTAAGCAAAGCTAATGAAAAAGTGGCCACCGCTTGCTTGATGCCAAAAGTGCTCCGAGAAAATCACCAAGGCTACCTTACGACGAGGCATACATACAAAGGACCTTTTATGCTATTTTGTAAATGATTTCTTTTTTTTGGTTAATTAAATGATTAATTAATTAAATTTTTTCTTTGCAGTTCTTTTAAAGCGTCGAGATCCAATAAAGCACGCTGATCTGGTACTGCTGAATCATGACATGCACCACGGCACCATCATGGTGTACAATCTATTTGCAGTGCAGCTCTCCGACAATAAAGTTTTTGGCTCCAAAATTGGAAAAGCTATTTCGTCTTTCGATGAAGGCTTTGATATGGACAAGCAAACCTTTCGTTACACCTGTTTAGGCTACTGTCCCGACTACATTGGTCCCTGTCTCAACCTTAGTCTGCCGGAAACGTTCAGCGTGTCGTACCTTGGAATGAGTATCATCTTTTTCTTCACCACAGAGTTTGTTCTGGACCTGTGGATAAGAAGCCCTGAAAACAAGTCTAAATGGCTGTCTCACGCAATTGAGCGCAGTATCTTTGTGTCAGTGGCAGCCATTGTAATGACACTGTTNGTTACTGTCCCGACTACATTGGTCCCTGTCTCAACCTTAGTCTGCCGGAAACGTTCAGTGTGTCGTACCTTGGAATGAGTATCATCTTTTTCTTTACCACAGAGTTTGTTCTGGACNCAGCCATTGTAATGACACTGTTTGTTCTCATTGTCTATCACTACGCCATCAAACAGTACTGCGGCAAGTGTTGTACAGTCGGCTTTATGTGGCTGCTCAATCACGTGATGCCCTACCTTATTACCTTTGCCTGTATCACTATGGGTAGGGTATTTTTATTTGCATTGCAATATTGCACATTTCAAATGTTGTTTGCTCCCCTATCGCAGATGTCTTCACTATAAGACTGCTGACTCTCTCTGAACACTCGCCATTGTCCGACCGACAGGAGCAGCTGTGGCTGGTTGCAGTGTCCTCATCAGGCTCCATTTACTTACTTGTCATTGGCCTTCTGATGATGACTCTGTACCTCAATGGCTACTACGATCCTAAAAGTTTGCCCATTATTAACTTTGAAACTGGCGAAAATATGAAAAGCATTGCCAAAAAGATTAACATCAAAAGGCAAGTTAGATCGCAAAGAACTAACAGCAAGGGCACCAACTCCTCTACGCAAAATATTTTCATATCAACCAGTTTACATAAAAAGTCCAAGTTACTACCTTGTCAAGCAGAATCAATCAGTAGACGGATCAGAAAGAATTATGGTTGATTGATTTTAATTTAGAATAAAAATGTTCCTATTTTATATGAAATTTTTCAAATGATTTCCATACTAGCGGTAAATGGTGCAACAGGAGGTATATGGCGTGTATTGAGGAGTTGCCCTGTGCTTGGGAGAGCCTGACTAAAATGGCCCATGTCAAATTAAGCATCAACATTCTTTTGCGATTCTGTAAAAAATGTAAAGGTAACAGTGTTAGTGTCAATTTGTTCTACTATAGCACTTCTGTTTTAAAAATACCGTTGCCATTCTTGACCGAATTCGCCTGTCCATATCAGCAGAAATGTTGGTCACGCCAAGAATATAGGCCATCTTTGGGGGCGACTTGGCCAGTTGAGAGTTGGGCAAAATTAACAGAAAAGCTCGGTCGTAGATGATTCGAGTGTCTACATGAAAATGAAAGCGAAAAGGAGGTATTAGGCACTGTAGATAATTTTTCCCTAGGTAGGCGAGCATGTGGCCTCGTAAATGTGCATCAATACTGCAAAAATGCCGCCTCCTTGTTGACACAAATCTATTTTGGGCATGCAACTCTCGTCAAGAAGGCGACAAGGCGTCTGCCAGGAAGAAGACATTGAATCGCCTGTAGTTCTTTCGTCTCAATGTCGTCGTGCTTGCTGCCTGTCGCTACTTCTCTTCCTTCTATCGACGCTTCACACTTTTATTTTCTTCAGCCAGGTTGCGCAACAGCTGCAAAGAGGAAGAGAGTGAGTGCACATTGATGGTGGCTTCACTCGCAGCACACTTCTTTCGCCTGCCGTACATGTGCTCGTCGATGTGGCCGATGGTGGTGGCCAGAGATGCAAGCGTTCAAGTGTGCTCTAACTAGTAAAACAGCATGTGATGTGCTTCTAGAGACATTGCTGTAGAAACTTGCTAAAAGCACCGAGATGACTCCAAGTGAGGTCTAAGTGGCAGTCGGAGCTGAGCTGAGGTGTTGAGCCTTCACTTTGGTGTAGGTGTGAGCACACTTGAGAGCTAGCACCGTGCACACTCAGTACACATACACTACAAGACATAAACACACTGCATCACGTCATTGATCTTGACCAGGATAGATGATAGCCTGACAAACATGCTGGTGCCAGTGTAGTGGCGAGGAAAAAGTGTGTTTGTGTGTAAATGCACGAGATCGAGGAAAAGTGAAAGTGCCCCGTTCTGAGAAGGATACAGCACTTGCCGCCAGGAGTTAATGTTATAATTTTGAGTGACGATTTCACAGAAAATGAAGTTAAGAAAAGAAATACATCATCGTCAGTACAAAAGAGGAGAGGAAAAAACAAAAAACGATATTAACAAACGTTAAGGAAAAGCATCTGTTAGCTCGAGTGCAGTGAACAAGAAAAATACTAGCGGTAAATGGTGCAGCAGCAGGCATATGGCGTATATTGAGGAGTTGCCCTGTGCTTGGGAGAGCCATCCACCCTATTTAAAAGTCCATGTCGAATTGAGCATCATCTTCTCCTTGCGATTCTGTAACAGATGCAGGTAACAGTGTCAGCATCAATTTGTTCTACTATAGCATATTATTTGGTCGTTCAAAACATTACCTTTGCCTTTCTTGGTCAAATTTGCCTGTCCATTCTCAGCGGAAATGTTGGTCACGCCAGCAATATAGGCCATCTTTGGGGGCGACTTGGCCAGTGGAGAGTTGCGCAGGTTCATTAGGAAAGCCCGGTCGTAGATGATTCGAGTGCCACCAGGAGTGGTGGAGAATAGAGTACCTGTAGGAAAAAACGAAAGTATCGTTAATACGCTTTCCTTTCGGTAAGTACTGCACCGAACGGTACCTCCGGGAGTAGCCGCTACACCTCGGTCAGGCAGGTCAGAATCCGAGTTGATGGTCACGCGGCGGAAAGCGGGAATAGGCTTTGCTCCAGAGTTTTTGGTCGTCATTGTTTTGAGGAGGTGGTAGTAGTAGTCTGTAGAGAAGAGGAACACAAGAGGATAGAGATCAAGCGAACAAGTGAATGGAAAGGATGATCTGGATGAATAACTAGATAGTTTCAGGCTGGAGTCAGTCGAAACGAGGCACTCAAAGGGCTGCCTGGCTTATATAAAGCAACCGGGCTAAACAACTTGGCGAATGCTTCTTCTAGCAGACACACAGAGGCAGTGTCTTGGCGGTGGAGAGCAACAAATGATTAGCAAAGTGACGATAATTGAGAGAAAGAGAAAGCGAAAGAAAGAAGACTTGTTGCTGTGCTGATGCCGCGGAAGCGCTGTATATTTTTCGATGGTACTGCTGCCAGTCGGTAGATTAGCAGACTCGCATGACTACGGTGATAAATGGCAGTCTGGTTGTGTGCTGTTGATGGTGGAGAAGGTGGTGGTGGTGGCGGTGGCGGCCTGGGTCGATCGCAACCATCATCATCACACACTTCTGCGCCGCAAGCACATGCCTCTTCAGATGCACCAAAACAACTACTATTTAGGGTGAACCTGTGGGAAGGTTACAACAAGCGAAGGAAACAAGTGTCAAGCAGTGGTTGGGTCCTCTCATTGGAGGCAGTGTAACTGGATGCGACAGTGACAACGCTAAGACTCAACTGAAAGGACGCCTGTGCAACAAGAGACCACATGTTGGAGCTAAGGCTAGGGCTGACAGGTGAAAGGGAAGTGAGTGTGCTTACCAGAAGAAAGGTGTCAACGATGTGGATCGGTGGGTGAGAGGGTGAGGTTGCTTGGGGAGAGCACGTTGCGACACGACAAGGTTAAATGCGGACCGCTGGAGTGAGAGAGCTCGTGATGTGTAGACCACTGATGGCAGTGTGCTGGAGGACTGCTTTGTCTTGCTTTGTACCACTGATCGGCTGCGACTGTTGTGGTCGGAGACGGAGAAAGAGAGAGAGGGAGAGAGAGGGAAAAGGAGATAGAGGGAAAGGAGAGAGAGAGAGAGTATTGTTGACAGCCTCGTGCTAGCGCAGTGTGCCTGAAGTTGCGGCGACTCGACTTGCTTAGCTTTACTACCACCACCACCATCACCATCAACAGCAGCTGCAGGAGAAGCACCACCGTCGCCTTTCACTACTATCGCCTAGTTGGTTTCTGGCAGTCCTTCTTGAGGATTCTAATCAGCCACCTCGGTGCATGGACTTTTTAGATACCCAGGCGTCGTGCCACAGACACAGCAATGCAGCAAGGTAAGCTGAAGTGATCAGTCCGAGTCCACTGTGGCTTCCAAGTTTTTGGAAGCGATGTCTGCACTGAAGACTCTGCAGCGCCTGCTGACGACGCTCCAGTGCACCAGTCTACATGTACAGTGAGCATTGGCCCTCGAAACAAGCTGCTACCTGATCGGGGAAGCTGACTGCCTGCCTGGAAGGCTTCTACTGTGACGCAGAGAGAGAATATGGCGAAACCTCGTGATGAGCAACAGAGACAGAGCGAGCGAGAGAGAGGATTGCGGTGCTGGTAATGGGATGCAGCTTCTGCGACAGTGGGCAAGAGCAGTCACATGCTCGTACTAGTGGAGATGCTGTCTATTTTCAGAGTGGAGAACAGACGCCACCATCCATCCATCCATCCATCCCTCAGCTACTACTCCTACACTGTTCTTCCCTGATGATAACTGGAAGGAGCACTGTGCTCCACCAGACTGTGCCATGATTACCGCCGATTATCGTCTCATCTGCTCTATCTGCTCATGTGACGGTTTGCCTGACACCGTCGTCGTTGTCAGTGTTCCCATCAACCCCATTACCCAGCACCACCACCTCCCCGACAGGTCACACAGTATTCCCGAACATCAGCAGAATCACCAACACTGATACTCACTGTGGAATTCGTCTACCACCGAAGGCCATTAGAGAGCACACTGTACACTCGTGTTGGCCAATTAGTATTCAAACAGGTGTCAGTCTTCAGTGTTTGCTTCGCTCCAGCCAGCAAGTGTATACCTGTGTAAACTGCCCTTATCACTTCTGAAACACACTTCAATAGTGCGCCTTACATAACAAGTACATTCTCCGGTGTAAACAAAATTGTTTGTAGTTTAATCATGAGAGAAAGCTGTAAAATTGAGATTAAGTAATTGATGATAAAATGTAATACATAAAATTAAGTAAAAGTATTAAAAAGAATACAAAAAAGTAAAAGGTCACCGGCACCAATTTTTGCCTTTCACAAGTATTGGATTTTCTAAAAGTCTATAAAAAAGAAAAATACATTTATTTTTTGTTAAATTCATTAATACTACGTTAATTACCAAAATCACCAAAACGTCGTCGATATTGAGATTGAAGAAACTTTAGTTTTAACTCTTGAATGGATATCTTCAGTTTCAAATCGCGCTGAGCTAATTCATCGTTCAAATCGACAAAATCAGTTTGAATGCTTTTGTCTTCACTCAAAACAACATCTGAATAGACAACTTTATCAGGAATCTTTAAACCTTTAGACTCCATGACAGATGAATCCAAAGTATTGTTAGCAAGCACTTGCTTGGATTGTACAGAGTTGCTGGTTTTCAGTATTGAAGACAGTTTTTGCTTTTCATCAACATTGACATCGGACGACTGGTTAACCATTGGCTGTAAATATTTCTTGGTTGAAGAATTATTTTTTGGTTTTTTAACCGCTTCAACATAATCAGAGCCAATCTTTCGTTTAGTCAATTCCGGAGCACGATCCCAGATTGTGTTCAGCTCTTTCCAAGAGTATTCAGCGCCCATCACAAAGTTGTAGCTGTTGGCAATTGTTTTCCACAATTCCTCGTCGTTTCCATTGGAGCTGACTGTCGAATGGTACAGTTGGTGCAGCAGTCGATAATTTGTTGGCAGCTTGTTTTGATCGAAAAAAGTCACGCGCTTGTTGACAGTTGTATTTGACTGGGTCGGATTCATCTTGGTTGTCGACAGCAAAGTAGAATTCCGAGAGGAGATGTTTTCAGAACCGTAGATCAGCGGTGAATAAATTTGACACTGGAGAATGGCGGCCAAAAACGATCCAGTTCGATTTTGGCAAACACCCACTATATGGAGGGGCTCTGTCGCAGCAGCTGATTGTTTGTTATGATTGCTTGTGCAGTCAACTTTTTCTGTGATTCTTTTTAAAAATGGTATTTTTCTTCAAAGATGCTTAAAAACATTAAGTAATCTATTCTTTCAAATTTAGCATTCCCGTAAAAAAGTACCCAAAGATGAAGCAAAGGAAAAGGGGCGTCTTCAAAAGGCTACCAAGTTTTCCGGTGGACTAAACAAGTTACATCAGTTGGTATGTTGATTATGAACCTGATTCTCAGCAACTAATATTTGTTTAAAACTGTAGAAGAAAAACGGTTTCAAAGATGTCAGTTTACTATCTGGAATTGCAGATTTACTATACGTTAGTCCCGACTTTTTTACTCTTTGGAATTACCGCCGCGAAATACTGATTGCTTACAAAAGTCAGTTAGAGGCACAAGATGAAGATCCAAAGTGGGACGAATTCAACAGAATTTGCAACAATGAGCTAACATTTACTGAAAACTGCCTCAAGGTGAACTACAAGTCGTACGGCACTTGGCATCATCGGTGCTGGCTGCTTACTTTTATGAAAAACCCTGACCTAGAGAGAGAAGTTCAGTTGTGCAATCAATTTCTCCAATTTGATGAACGAAACTGTAATGACGATTCTTTTAAATTCAGAATTAATAACTACAATTACCTTTTTTAGTTCATGCTTGGAATTATCGCCGGTACATCGTAAAACTTGCCAAAATTGGTCCACTGGAAGAGCTAGAGTATTCAAAGAGTAAAATCAACGATAACTTTTCAAATTTTAGCTCTTGGTACTACCGAAGCTCATTGCTCAAGTTGCTTTACGCTAGCGGTCACGATCACTCTGCCATTCAGTCAGAGATTGATGAGGATTTCCAGCAAGTTCAAGAAGCAATTTACACTGACCCTACCGATCAGTCAGTATGGTTGTACTTACGATGGCTTTTTTCCATATTTTCCAATGGACTTCAGTCACTTTCTTCTGATTCAGTTCGACGCAAAGCTTCTAGCGTTGTTGAATTAAAATCATTTATCTGGTCAACGGTTTCGTCTAATAAATTCATCGTAGCCGTAGAACTTTCCCATCTTCTTCAAGAACCACCTGAAATGATGCTTTCAATAAACAACAAAGCAGTTACATTGACCCAATGGAGAGCCGCAAATGACTTTACTTGGCACTGTGAAGCAGAATTTGACGGTGCAGAATTTCAAGACGAAACAGAAACAGAGAGTGTGTTTGAATGGCACTCTGAGGCTACAAGTCAAGTTCTCCAGTTCAACTGGCCCAATCTGACTTTTACGCATCCCAAGGGTCCAGACGCTCAATCATCAGATTTTGTGTGCTTTGTGTACACCGGTGACCACTGTCAGAATTCAGTTGGCAGTGTTGACTTGAAAAAGTACCAGTCCCTCCGAGAACTTCTTGAACTGGAGCCCGACAACAAATGTAAGCGTGTAATAGAGAAGTTAGAGCTAATTTTGCTAATCTTTTTGTGCCTTCCTCATCTAGGGCTCAACTTTACGCTGGCATGGCTCGAGTCCAATGATGACGCCATGAGCAGCATCATTGACAAGTTGATTCAGATAGACAACCTTCGAGAGAATTACTACCGAGACCTGCGTATGTTTGTTTAGCAACTTGACAATTTGTTTTTTGCTCATGTGGGTTAATCTTTTCAGGTAGCAAAATCGTGTTTGAGAAATACTTATCCGAGCAAAGTCACATCCGTCAGCTGTCACTTTCGTTGCCAAACTTGCGCCTTCATTCACTGCGCGCAGCTAGCCGCCTGATGCATATTCAGCACTTGGACTTGTCAAACAATGACCTCATCAAGTTTGGTGTCACTTTTTCATCCTTAGTTTCGCTAAGGTGTCTTATTCTGGACTCCAACTCGGTATATCTAGTCGATGAAAAGCTCAGCTTGCCCAACTTGACCATCTTGTCATTGGCGAAAAACCGTATGTACAAAATCGATCGTCTATTTCAATAATGATATTTTATTTTTGTTGAATAGGCATCAATAAGTGGCACCCAATCAGCGTTGTGTTGAGCAATTTCAAGAAGCTAAAGCACTTGGCCTTGTTTGGTAATCCTTTTTTTGACGAAGATCGTGATGCTAGAGTTGCTCAGTTGATTGATGCTGTTGGCCATCGAGAGTTGACGGTTTATTTGGAGCAAAGTGAGGCGACAAACATATCGAGCGTAATCGAAACGGAGTTGCGGGGTATTGAAAAAAGACAAGCATCTGTGCAGATGAAGCTATACAAATGTGAAATCTAACTCCTCTATGAACTGTTTTAATTTTACAATGATATAAAATATTAATTCTTTAACTTTTTAGGAACAAAAGTCCAAATGAATCCGCGACTAGTGGTCACACTGTTGTCAGTTATTTGGACTTTAACTCATTACTGGCTAGTGTTTGCCGGTGCCACCATGGGAGTTGTGCTCTCGACCGTGTTTACTGCTTGCGGTGGCTGGTGTTGCTGCTGATGCATGTGCTGATCTGTCACTTGGGTTGTCTCGTCAGCTGCTTCGGACTGCTGCATCAACTCGCTAATGTTCGTCTCGAGTTCGTCTATTCGGTGCCCCATGTCGTCGATTCGACTTATAATTTGTTCAGTCATTGACTGAAACTTATCCTGCATATCTTGGAGCAATCCCTGCACCTACAGAAAACACATTTTAGTATTGCAGACTTTACTAGTTAGCATCAATGCACTTACCTGCAGCAGTGGATTGTCCAAAGAGGAAGCATTTTCACTGGTGGTCACGTTTGCACTCTGCGACGCGCTATCCAATTTGTTGTCCATCTTCTCGGGTTAACTTGGTCCTCGGTGGCACCGATCAACAAAAGGACTCGACGTTGACTCGGCGTTGACAGGCGAACGGGCTTGGCTGGTGCAATTTCAGCTGATGCGAAACAAAAATGCCTCTGAGGGTCATTCGCAAAAGACGTTATCGGTGACTCAAAAAAAGATTTGACACAATGACTAAATTGCAGTGTATTTGTTTTATTGGATTCAAAGAGAAGCCTAGCATTTGACTGTGCAAAATCTTGTTGTTGCAAATATGAAAAAGAAAATAATAAACGATTGAATATTATTTAAAGAAAAACCTAGTGCAGCGAGGGGTTTACGTCGAGTTCAGCAGCATGGTAAGCTTTTCGTTAAGCATTACTTCAGTTTTGCTCAAGTTGGATAAATAGACCACCATGAGAAAGTCTTTGAGATTTGAGTTGAATGCATCATCATCATCGCCGCCGAAAGGAATAATGTTTTCAATCATGGCCATAAGCTGGCGTCCAATGTCATTGCTGTTGGAGGGAATGGAGCCCTTTGAATTGCCTGAAAGAATCTTCTCGTCGATGAACTTGACGATTTTCCCTATAATTTCCTGGCACTTGACGGACATTTGAATGATCTGCTCCAGCTCATTCTCAATGTACTTTGGCTTTCCATCAGTGGTAACACTGGGCAAGCCTGCTGCGTACATGCACGCCCGAACGCCGATCATTTCGGGCTCCGAACAGTAAGAGATGATGATGTCATCGATGGGAGTGAACATCGTGCCCATGTTTCGGCCGGGAATGCCAAAGACCGTTGAGATGAAGGCCTTCACATTGACGCCATCAGTGCTGGGGTCCACTGTCAGATGAATTGGGTTTTGGCATTCGCGAGAGTAGTAATCGTGGATGACGACGGAGTACTCGTTCACCTCGCCGCCGCCAGTGGCGAACCAGCCGACGATGGTTTCATTTGAAAAGACTTTCCGGTGCAGATCGTAGAGTTCCTTGGCCACCTCAATGTCAACGGCCACTTCGTTGTTGGCTTCTCGGTGCTTCACAACAAAGGAGTTTGTCACTTCAACGTTGCCCGATTTGTCAACTGAGCCAAGCAGCGTGCCGATGACTCGGTTGGCGTCAGAGTTGCGGCGCTCGTAGATGTCGACGATGTTGAAGACCACGACGGGATGGACACGCACCGAAATGTTGGCCATGGTTGCGCTCACACTGAAGTTGTCCTGGCGGGAGTGCTGGCCTTGTACGCCTTCTTGTTGATGCGCCTAGATTGAAGGCCGAGCCGAGTGGAAGCAGCCGGATGAGAGTGAGCACAAAAAAATGTTGCCGATCCAACGTGTCAGCCGCCTAAGGTGTATACTGCCGCGCGGTGGAAATAGACTGATTTCAAAAAGGCAAATTGAATTTCACTTTAGGTTTGACTGCTCATCATTATTTGCAAATGGTTCAGCGCCCATCAAGGTAAGTGAACTGTGCGGGTTCAGTCCTCCTCAAACGATTCAACTAGAACCATTACCGGTAATTGGATTGTAGGGTAAAACACGGCGATAAAAGAAACATTAAGTACAGCTAGAAAGCTTTTTGTAGGTAGTTTAGACAAAGGTGCGTGCCAATCAGCACTCAGAGTGCTGTTTTACTAAATCCACAGTTGAAAAAAACAATCTGGTCTAAGGAAAATCGAAATTACGGGACCCGAGCGGGAAAAGTACTCGGCCGTAGATGTAGAGGCAGTACTGAAGTGGCAAAGGTAGAGCGCGCCAAAAATCTCGTTACTGCCTGTCGAGGGAGGAGCCTCTTGCAGGGAAGCCTGCAGCCGCCGGCAGACGGTTCGAGTGAAAGCAGGCTTCACCGCAATAGGCTCCACCCCCGACCGACAGAAGCGAGTGCGCTCGGGTGCTCTGGTGGAAATGGGCTGTCCTCTGACGTCAGACATGTGCGCGCTGTGCTGTGTGTGTGTTTCTGTTTCATCTCTTTCTCTCACTCAACGTGTAAGCGAGGATTTTGTGCTGGTCTGGGCGTCCTTTTCAACCAGTCTTTCTATCGTCGTCAGCTGTCGTCGTCGTCGGGAGTATAAAGTCAAAAGGTGAGCGCAGATATTCCGCCAAGTTTGCACCGTTGGCTCACACGTTGGCTTTCTTATTCTCACACACTCACACTTTGACTCTTTGACTAACCGCCACAGTGCAGTCAAACGATCGTTGTCTCGATGTCCTTCTGTTAGAAGAATCCGTCCTCTCCTACTGCTGCCCGCGTTCTGCCCGTTCTCTGGTTCTCTTCTTTTGTTTCGTCTTCTTGAAAGTTGCTCACACATCCACTTAAAATGCACCGGGCTGCATTTTCGGCTTCATTCAAAACGGCCAACCGCCTTCTCCGGTCTTTAGAAAGTGGCCAGTTCGGCTTCCTCGTGGTCCGTCGTCAGCCCACCTCGACAACGCCGGCTTCGGCGGCGGCTGCCATCGCCACTCGTGTCGCCCAGGAGCCCTTTCTCAATGGCTCATCTTCGGTGTACGTCGAGGAGATGTACAATGCCTGGGTGAAGGATCCTAGCTCGGTTCACAAGAGCTGGGATGCCTTCTTCCGAAACGCCTCCGCCGACGCTGAGCCAGGTCTTGCCCATCAACGCCCACCCACTCTGTTTCCCTTCTCGGCCGGTGGTTTGCCCAGCGTTCCAGCCTCTGCTGCTGGACTTGCTTCCGTCGACTCGCACCGCGACATTGATGACCACCTCTCCGTGCAGGCCATTATTCGCTCCTATCAGGTATGTTTCCCTAATTGAAATTGACCTTTTATTTAATTACTAGAGTGTTTTTCTAACTTGTAAAGTTCACAAACGTTCAGACGTTCACGCTTTAAGGGTTTGTTTATGCAGCTTTAGTTAGATCTCCCTCATCAAAAGTACATTATACGTCATCGTCATCGTCTGTTTATGCTGGCATACTAAAATGTACTTTTCCTCTGTACTTTCCTTATCTCGATAGTGTACTTTTTATGTCTTGTTTATGGATTTACCCATTCCAATTCTGCATTGGTAAATAATTTAGCTAGCTTCAGTAATGCCTCAACTTGTTTTGAAAATAGCTTTAGCATCTTCATTTAACCTCTTTAACGTGTAATTCATAGGATTTATTTTCAATTCTTTGAATTCCCGTTTTGATTTGTTTCAAGATATGATTTATCTTGTTTTTCCTGTTGTAAGATAAACTTGTTTTCCCTTAGGATACACAAAAGACATAATAAGTACGCAATCATTCTCAAGGTTATTGACTCGGCACATTGTGGCCATTTGCTAGTTTTAACATTTTTACCTTTCGACTTTGATTGCTCATATTGCACTGTAATTACATTGATGATCCTTTCTCAATGCAACAAACAGCAAACATTTTAATTTACTCTCTTGGTAACTGTAACTTGGTGTGCCAGCAACTCTGAATGCTGGCTATGCAATGTATCTTGTCGTTATTTTGGTAAAGCAGGATACTTTGATATTGTGGTAGTGAAGTGTACTAGATGACATAAGACTCAATCATCTCGTGATTGAGCATGGGTGATACCCGTTAATCGTCCTCGCCGGTATCGCCGCCGCATCAGCCTGTTTGTGCACTTTTGCCAGCAGAGTCAAAAGTTGGCACATCTGAAACTGCCACACTTTTGCCACACAACTCCCACTGCACACTGCGTTTAGCATGTATCTTATCTAATGTTTGTGTAGCAGTTGCTAGTAATAATAACTTTTTTGTTATATTCTTTCATCTTGATCATAGGTTTTATACTTTAACTGCTCGGTAGCCCTTCGTGCAGAGCTGTGGAGACGTGTAACACCGTTTCTTATCTTGTTCTCATCATAACACATGTACAGTGTAGTATGTTGAGGTTCACTGTCAGATTGCACAGCACGGCAGCAGCAGTGATAGCTCAGATAGTAGGCCAATTCACCCAAGTCGCCCTACTTTTGAGCTGTGTCATTTTATACACCTTCTCTAAATTGTACAATCCACCCCAATGCAATTGCGTCAATGACAGTGTAGACGAGTCATCATTTCCTCGAGCTAGTGCTAATAGAAAGTACCGTTCATGATGATGAGGATACTGCTCATTATCGATGGCATTTTTACACGCTAAAGTTCGCTTTAGGCTTTTGTTTCACGGTAGTAAGTCAATGGCACTCGTGCGCACTTTTGAATTGTATTTAGGCTCGCGCGTACCTGGTTAGTTGACTCGAATGGGCGCATCACTTATTTATAGGTACCCTAGAGGACAAGATGGTTTGGTTCAAGCTGAGCTTTTTATAGAAAGTACTCTATGATTAGACACTGCAGACTGGTGTTTGCTGAAGGTAGGCAGACAGACAAACACACTACGTCTACGCCTTTGATTAGCATAAGATGCCTTTTGCCAAGAGTCCTTTTTGTCTAATCGAATATTATTGCTGTTATATAACTACATTTTAGTTATCTCAGCACAGACCCTTTTATTTGTCTAGTTTCGATCACATGACAGTTTTTAATGCCAAGTTGGCTTACTTTGCTATCCAACCTACTATTCAACTGTCTCTCTCTTTGATGCTTATCAACGTCCACCGTTTCTCAACTTTACTAGATGCGCTTGTTTATATGCACTTGAAACATGTTCCGTATATTCAGTTAGTCGCTGTTTTGTATCCCATTCCATTGAAATTCACTTTCTTTTTGTCATTGCGCCGCTCCTCCGACTAAGTGAAAGCTAAAAAGAATCGCTCTACTAGCACATTTTGGCATAAGCATTCAGCGCACTCTTGGCTCTATTTCAAACGAGAATCGGCATTACTCAAACATGAAGTAAGGCATTTTTTTCGTATGCACCAAATAAAGGAAACTTGAGAAATACAAAAAAGAATACTAATTGAGTTGTAAAACCGGAAATAATTAGCAGGACTGTACTTGCACATGTTTAGCCAATTTAGTTGTTTTAAATAAATTTACTTTACCCCATTCTCCTGACATGGATAGACCCGAGGTCACTTGGCGGCAAATTTGGACCCCCTTCAAATCGACTCCATCACTCCACCTAATATTTTGGACGCTCCCGCTTCTCCCAAGATTGTTTTGCGACAACACAAATTAGGTACTTGTCTTTGGTGCATTTGACTGCCTTCAACACTGCCGCTCATTCGTCTCTCTACTAACTTTCCATGTTTCTGCTTCTACTAACTTTATCTAGTACTTTTAACTTTACTAACTTTACCAACCTCTTTCCGACTAACCAGCTAACCTCTTTTCTCCTGCTTCTGTTTCCTCTTTTCTTTCTCTGTCAACGATAGATTCGCGGTCACTATTTCGCGAAACTTGATCCTCTTAATATCAATGTCACTAATCTTGACCGAGATGGTGCATGGCTTAAAGTCTACAATCTCGGTATTTACTCTTTTTCCTTTAGCTTAATTGTTTGTGCATGCTTCCGCTTGTTTGTAGTTTTGTTAATTTTCAATTGCTGACAGATGATTACTTGATTCCAGAGGAAAAGGACATGGACCGCCTTTTCAAGCTGCCAAACACCACCTTTATTGGCGGTGGAGAGACTGTGCTTTCCCTTCGAGAGATTTTGAAACGCCTTGAGAGTACTTACTGCGGACACATTGGCGTGGAGTACATGTTCATCAATAACCTGGAGCAGTGCCAGTGGATTCGGGAAAAGTTTGAAACGCCTACCATTATGGATCTTTCAGTGGAAAAGAAAAAGACACTGCTGGCTCGAATGACCCGATCACACAAGTTCGAGGAGTTTTTGGCCAAGAAGTGGTCATCGGAGAAACGATTCGGTCTGGAGGGTTGCGAAGTGCTCATTCCTGCCATGAAGGAAATTATCGACAACTCATCTGAACTTGGCACCGAAAGTATTGTCATGGGCATGCCTCATCGTGGTCGACTCAATGTTCTCGCCAATGTGTGCCGTAAGCCACTGGAGCAGATTTTCGCTCAGTTCAACAGTCTCGAGCCTGCTGATGAGGTATGAACGTACTTTTGTAAATAACTTTTTTAACATCTCAATTTTTAGGGCTCTGGAGACGTCAAGTACCACTTGGGCATGTCACACGAGCGTCTGAACCGCAAAACGAACAAGACCATTAAGTTGGCTGTCGTCGCTAATCCATCTCACTTGGAGGCCGTCGATCCGGTTGTGCAGGGAAAGACTCGCGCTGAACAGTTTTACCGCGGCGACACTCAAGGCCGAAAGGTGATGAGCCTTCTGCTTCACGGTGATGCTGCTTTTGCCGGCCAAGGCATCGTTTACGAGACCTTCCACTTGAGTGACCTCCCCGACTACTCGACGCACGGAACTATCCACATTGTGGTGAACAACCAAATTGGCTTCACCACCGACCCCCGTGTGGCCCGCTCTTCGCCGTACTGTACCGATGTTGCCCGCGTCGTCAATGCCCCCATCTTTCACGTGAATGCCGACGATCCGGAGGCAGTGGTTCACGTTTGCAAAGTGGCCGCTGAATGGCGAGCCAAGTTCGGAAAGGACTGTGTCATTGATTTGGTCTGCTACCGCCGAAATGGCCACAATGAAATTGATGAGCCAATGTTCACGCAGCCGCTGATGTACACAAAGATCAAGAAGCAGCTGCCCACCCTGCACAAGTATGCCCAGAAGCTTATTGCAGAGAAAACCGTCACCGAGGAGTATGTGAGTCAGCTGAACGAAAAGTATGAGAACATTCTAGTGGAAGCATACAAAAACACCGAGAAAGAGGTGAAAATGTACAACCGCGACTGGCTCGATTCCCCATGGAGTGGATTCTTCGGCACTCGCTCGGAAATCAAATGCGACCCAACGGGCGTCTCGGAGGAGGTGCTCTCTCACATTGGCAACGCCTTCAGCACTCCTCCACCTGGCAACTTTAAAATTCACGGAGGTATCAAGCGAATTCTCAACTCTCGCTTGGACATGGTCAACAACCGAACCATTGACTGGGCCCTTGCCGAGGCACTTGCATTTGGCTCCCTGCTCAAGGAGGGCATTCACGTTCGACTTAGTGGACAGGACGTGGAACGTGGTACCTTCAGTCATCGACACCACGTCTTGCACCACCAGACAATGGACAAGACTACATATCGCCCCCTCTGTCATCTCTACCCTGACCAGGCTCCGTACACTGTCTGCAACAGTTCGCTCTCTGAGTATGGTGTTCTTGGCTTTGAGCTAGGCTTCTCCATGACCAATCCCAATGCCCTGGTCATCTGGGAGGCTCAGTTTGGCGACTTTTTCAACACTGCTCAATGTATTATCGACCAGTTTATCAGCTCAGGTCAGGCCAAGTGGGTGCGCCAAAGTGGTCTTACGCTGCTTCTGCCTCATGGCATGGAAGGGATGGGCCCGGAGCACTCTTCAGGCCGTCCAGAACGATTTTTGGAGCTGTGCAACGCTCCTCATGATGAGTTTCCGGTCAGTACACTTTCAACTTTTATCTTTCTTTTGATCTCACTGACCTTTCAACTGTATTCTCCCATTCAGACCATCGATGAGTACTTTCCGCTGAAGCAACTGCACGACATCAACCAGATTGTTGCCAACTGCAGCACCCCGGCAAACATGTTTCACATTTTGCGCCGACAGATTGCTTTGCCATTCAGAAAACCTGTAATATTAAAATTGCAATATCATTCTTTTATTTGACTAACCGCTCTTCTACTTTAGCTGATCGTTTTCACTCCCAAGTCGCTTCTTCGACACCCAAGCTGTAAATCTTCATTTGATGAGCTGTTGCCAGGAACTGAGTTTAGACGACTTTTGCCTGATGAGGGCGAGCAAATCAAGGCGAGACCTGAAGCAGTTAAGCGTCAAATTTTCTGTACGGGCAAAGTGTACTATGAACTCATCAAGGAACGTAATGCCCGTGGACTCGATGACCAGGTGGCCATTACTCGCATTGAGCAGCTGTGTCCGTTTCCGTTTGATCTCGTCCGTGATGAACTGCTGAAGTATCCCAACGCCGATGTGATGTGGTCGCAAGAGGAGCACAAGAACCAGGGCTGGTTCAACTTTGTCCTTCCCAACTTGCAGTGCGTGCTCAAACATCTCAACAAGGAAGATATGCGTGTCTTGTAAGTGCCTCCTTTTATTTTGTATCTGTGATGTTATTTCCTGAACTCTAATCAACTTGCAACTTGACAAAACAGGTACGCAGGACGACCTTTCAGCCCTTCGACTGCAACTGGTAGCAAACATGTGCACAAGAAGGAACACCACAACCACATGGAAACTAGCTTTTCCATCTAACATTTTTAGCACACACTCTCTGCAAACAACACTGTGCTGCTTCGTTTCACACTGTTCTCCTTGTTTCCTCCTTATTTATTCCCAATTATAAATTCCTATAAACTGTTGCTACTTGTCTCCTCTGTTTTTTAGTCTCATTTTGTAGTCACTTTCACTTAAGATCAGCCTTTGCCTGGTCGATCATCCTTCTCTTCCTTACTAGACTTTTAATTTCTACTGTTTATCAAATTTCATTTCCCATTACTATTTATTTCCTTTTCGAGCAGCACTGATTCTCTTAGAAACCCGTTATCTAATACACACATACACTTGTAATCGTGATATATGGCCAGTTGAGCTGTACCACTAATCAACCTCAGCCTCACCTTTAATTAGTGTTCCTCACTGGCAAAAAGAATTGCATTATTTTCAATTAACTCATTTTAGATAATGCCAAGAAATGGCCACTTTCTGAAATGAACCAACATGTAATTGACAGATTGATTAAAAGAGATCTATCGCCATTGCTAGCCGTGATTTGCGAGGGATTTGCTCTCGTCTAGACAAACTCTGTGCCGTTGATTAGTGCGAGCTGATAAGTGTAAGATGTGCTAGAAAACAGCGACGACACTAACGAGCTGTCACCAGTTGGTTACTAAACTAAACGACTGGACAAATTACGCCCTTGTGAAGAGGACGCTTAGCGTCAGTAGTGAATTTGTTTGTGTGCTTGTCAATCTGCTGCTACCACCTGTCTCCGTTTGGAGGGCACTGTCGAATGACGCCACTCATCACATCACACGCTCGCTCACACAACAAAAAACAACACACAAACAAATTCATTAAAAATTCAATCCAAATGTTTGTTAGTGGTTTGCATTGATGCCGCATACACTGCTGTTCAGAGTGGCAGCAGTGCTTGCGGCAATGGTAGCTGCACTGACAAGAAGGAAGCTTGTCTGATGGCATCGTCGTGGCATCTTTACAAGTGTCGCCGCTCGTCAGTGCCCAGAACGTGAGGGAGAGAGAGAGAAGGAGAGAGAGACTCGTAGAGCAGCCGCCCAGTGAATACTTGGACAGGATGCTACTCCTCACATCCTTATCAGAGATGTTCTTTACTGCATCCACCTTCCTTTGGTCTGTGTGGCTGTCACAATAAAGCCGCCTGACATCACCATCACCACCATCACCATCATCAGTGCTCTCTGTACCCGTTCTGTTCACTGCACACAAAAGTGCTCCCACCTGCACGCGTCTCTGACAAAAAGCTTGAAATCAGTGCAAACCTGGCTGCAGGACAAAGTGCACACCGAGGGGTGACGACAGTAAAACACCAGCATCTTCTTCTTCTCCAAAGTATCGCCGCCGTCGTTTGAGAAGAAGCATCAGCACGTAAATTGTACAAACTGAGTAGACAGCAGCAGCATAAATCGCAGTCCGCAGTCATAAAGCAAGCCCATATCTAGCACCACCGCCACCCTTTTATCAGTGCTGTGTTAATGTGTTTAAAGGCGCAGGTGACAATCTGCCTTGGTGAATTTTATTTCCTCCAAAGTGTGTGGAACGTAACGTAAACTGGTACCAAAGCAAAGTACCATATAGATAATGCGAATCAGCCATTGAGAAGCTGCAGAGAAGACTAGAGAGAGAAAGAGACTGCAATGTCCGCCTATGAACACAACAGCGACCACCATCACCATCACCATCTCATCATCAGTATAGAGAGAAAGAAAGGGAGAGAGATCACTTGTCGCAGCGGCTAATCGACCTCGTCTTGCCTTTCACTAAGGCTCCTCATCTTTGCCAGTCGGCGCAGATCCCATTTCTATACCGTTTTTCCCTTCTTCTTCTTCTTCTTCTTCTTTTCCTCCTCCTCTGCCTCCTCTTCGATCGACTAGAACAGTCGCCGAATGGCCGTCTAAAGTCGCCCGATCATTCTCGATCGCTCGTTAATTACGCCTCGATCTATATATTCACTGTGCAGTTACCATGCAAATTGTTGTCCTTTTCACAAGTGCCGCCATTAACCCGTTTGATCGATTTTTTCTCAGATAACATTGCTAAAAATGGCCAAAAAGACAACAAAAGCCATTCAATTTGACCTGAGTGCTACTGTGGATATCGATGAAAGCCGACAACCGGAGCAGGAATGTACACAAAAGAAGAAAAAGTTCTCCAAATTTAGTCTCTTTAAGTGGTCTCCCTCTGACAACTCTGTTTCCTCGTTGGATAATAATAATAAAAGCAAAACCACTGATGTGAACGAGAAGAAACAAAAGACCAAGTTGGTGCGCTACTTGAGTACAGAGAAGCCTATTGTCAAGAAACGAGTAGAGATCGATACGGAGGAGAGGCAGCTGCTGGACTCACTCAGCGACACCGTCATCGACCTTGATAGGTACCTGCAAATGCCCGAACCAAAGGTTAAGGACAAACTGTGGCGAATTCCGTACTACTTTCGCGACACCTCCGTGGAGAGCACCACGGAAGACGGTCAGAAGTCCATTAACCGATTCGGTGATGGGGTAGGCGACGGTTGTTTCGTCTCCCTAAGCTTGCCTCTACGAAAAGACAAAGTGGACAAAAACTGGGAGGACATACTGAAGCAGGCGGACGAGGCACTGGAGCAGTATGAACACGCACAGTGGAGTCGGGCCTCGGTGACGCGAGCAAGAAGAGGCTCCATTCTTCAGCCGCGACATGTCTTTCTCACGCCAAACCCTGAACTGGGAAACAGCGAAAAGTTTCTGCTCATTGGCCACAGTTTACTCTTGCGAGACTGTACTTCGGAGCTGTTTCTCTACCAGGATGAAAATGCTCTTCTTGAAGAGAACTACAAACAAAACATTATCCTCAACACCTCACTCGGCGACCTCAGCAACATGCTCTTTCCCGATCTCAAAAGTAACATGTCTAACTACAGTGCCCTCACCAACTCGGAGATCCAGTACATCAAAACGGTGCGCAACCGACGGCGACAGAGTCTCGTGCCGCCGAACTTTGAAGGGCAAAGCGACTTGCGATTCAGGCGACAAAGCTTCGCCGGGGGCGAGCTGTGGTCGGCCAAGGTGGAGAAGGAACGCAAACGGGACAACTACCATGAACGACTAAAGTTGATCAATCCACTGTTTCTCCATACGCCACGTCAAAAGAGTGAACTGGAGATGGCAATGGAGGCCAATCAGGCTGGTGAGACCCAACTTAGAAACTATACAGCCGTACTCTAATAAGCAAACTATGTTTACCTTTTTTACAAACAGCCCACTACAACAGCCTGGACGTGTCCCACTTTCCCCACTTTGACTACAACTCAACTGAACAAGCCCGCCTGTTTGCGCACGAGTTGACCCTGATTGTTCGCCAGCATTTTATTGCCATCAAGGAATCGGAAATAGTCAATTTTATTACTCATTCAGGACCGCATGTAATGGTAAGCTGGTAGCGAGCTAAGTTGGTAGTATATCAGTTGGTGATTTGGTATTGCTTTCTTTCTCAAAACAGAACTCTTGTGCAAACATCAAAGGACTATTTCACCTGCAGAATCGAATCATTCGTCTAATTGCCACTACCATTCTCCGGCACGAAGACCTTAACAAGCGCGCCGAATCGATACTTTTTTTCATACAGGTCATTCGACAGCTGGAGCTCCTCGGAAACTGGCACTCTATCAACATGCTCACCCAAAGTCTGCAGTGTCCGCCTATTGTACGACTAAAGGATACCTGGCGCAAGATTACATTCAACTATGCCGATGAGTACTGCTTTTTTATTCAGGTCTCTGAAGACCTTGCCGTCGGAAAGCAGCTAGGACTCTATGACTCTCTGACCACCTTTATAGCCATTTTTGATGATGTCGTCGACAAGATCAAAGAGCGATGTGGCTTTAAAATAGTGCAAATACATCAGTTCAGACTGCACAAAAACTGGGAAAAAGACTCAAAAAGTGATAATATGGTGGCATGGGTGAACAATGAAATTATGGATCTGCTGAAAGACATAAACGGCAACTTGGAAGAGAAATTTTTTGAAACAAACAATTTAGGCAAAAAAAGTTCAATTACTTCAATTGATATGCCGGTGGAAAAGAAACCTGGCTTCTTTCAGCGTTTGTTTCACTGTCCGTTTAGTGAGTTTTTGGTGTATTTTATTAGCCTTTCTAATCTGTTTTAATTGTGCCGATTATATAGCTAAATCAACCAAACCAACTCGAAACAATGTACTGTCCTCTGCACCAGCAGTCGACACGGAAGACGCAGTTGATGAATCTGAGCAAAGTGGAAATGTTTATCAAAGGCGACTTTTGCCCGGACAGATCATCACACGCCCAGTCAATCTAAACAGCAAAGTTCCTTCCACTAAAAAGTTCTGGTCCATTTCTGAATTTAACAAACTTGCAAACAAGGACAAAGAACAGGTGAAGCAGGAAATTGTGCGCACACTGGTTGCGTTTCAAAAAAAGACATTTTGTGTTTTTGAAGAGCGCGATGGAGAAATTAAAGACTTTCTCCTCAACTCTCAGTGTGACAGTAAGTGATCCTTGTAATTGCGTCAGAGCATGACCTTTATGATTCTCCTTTCACTTAGGTATGGATGCCTGTATGATCAAGTCCCGATCTGTTGAGGGTGATGCAAAGAAGGAGAAGGAGCTCAATCAGAAGGAGAATGGCGACCAACGAAGCAGGGAGCAGTCGCCAGTGAATGGCATCATCACCATCCGAGCAGAAATGGAAGCAGACAAGACTGATTCAGTCGACCCTGAGTCATCCAGCACTGTGGAGCCTCGACCGCACCGCACGAGGAGAGTCATGTTTGCGCAGGACTTGAACGACGAGAGTGATTAGACCATTGCC